GAGGTTAGGTTAGGTTAGGAGGAAGGTTAGGTTGGGTTGGGTTAGGTTAGGTTAGTTAGGTTAGGTTAGGTTAGGTTAGGTTTTTTTTTTTTTTTTTTTTTTTTTGAAAAGCTTATTGATTAAGGAGCATGAATACTGCCTTGCACGGCAGGTGCAGAGTACATGTTTTGAGGTGGTGAGGAGGTGACTAGACGACCAGTCGACCAGGCAGACAGACGAAGTTAGTGCAACTTCATTTTCGATTGGTCGCCTGGTCGACATGTTGGTCATGTGGAGGGGTTGATTATTGGTACATTGATTTGGTTGGAGTATAGGGGGTTGAACATTCGAGGATGCGGCTGTGGAGGATGTGACCAGTCTAGAGGTTCACTTGTTGGGTAGCCGACTTGCTGGGGTTTCGACTTGTCGACAATTGGAGTGAGTGAGGACGGCACGAGTGCATTGCTCGACCTTACAAACAATTGAGGATGGCACGAGTGCATTGCTCGACCTTAATAACAATTGAGGATGGCACGAGTGCAATGCTCGACCTTACAAACAATTAAGGATGTGAAGTAGCGACACTAAGAATGAACTTCATCATTTGGTGGTTCATCTGGTCGCTAGGCGGAGAGTTGACTTGGTGATTTGTTAGGTTGTTCACCAGTTAGTTTGGTTGTTAGATGCAGTATTTAAAGTTTTGGTGTATAATAAGTTTTGTAATAATAATAATAGTAACAAAAATATTTGATAACAGAAGAATTTTATTTAAGAACTCAAATAATCGTACTGTGTTTGTTTGGATTTTGTTTTCGGGATAGTTTATTAGTTTGAAAATTGGGGTGACCTATTGTTAGATTGGTGCTTAGTTGGTTTGGTGCGGTTTTTGGGTTTAGGGTGTTTGGTCTGAATAGATTCTGCTTTGAATCTGCCCTTTCGGGTAATTCAGTTCTAATTTTTAGGGAGGTTGGAGGTTCGTTTAGCGGTGTTTGGGGAGGTTCGTGGTTTGTTGGGTGGTTTCCTGTAGCTTTCGCATGTTTCAATGGTGGTTTTGTTAACCGTTGATCTGTTCGTAGCGCTTAAAGTTATGGGTTTTTCCAATGTATATTGTTTCCCAAGAAGAAGAGCAAGCTTATTTGAGGTGGTGGTAATATCATCAATATACGATTTGATTGTTTGCTCAGTCGACTGATCAACGCCATTGGGGCTCACATGGTCAAGCTGATACAAGAGCTCGTGGGTAAGTTTGGTGAGATATGTTGACTTTTCGATGAGCTTTGTTGTTTCAGCTCTCATCGATAGATCAATGTATTCATCTTGATTGGTAGGTGAGTAGCTGGATGGATTGGTTAGGGGCTGAGAGTTGGATAGTTCATGTGATGACACATCACTAGTTGATGGACGCACAGTAGTTTTGGATTGATTTTCAAGAGCTTTATTAAGCTCCTGTTGGACCTTTTCACATATTCCATTGGCAACCGTATCAAAATCAATTTTTGACAGATACCTGTCCATGTACATGTTGAAGAGGTTATTTAGTTTGGGATTTACTGAGGTTTGATTTTTGGGTACTGTTGAGGACATTGTTGTGATAGTGGTAATTTGAGAGGTTGAGAAAAATGCACTAAGATACGCTGAAACTTGATCTCAGAAGAGCTAAAACATGAATGAGCTTTAAGCATCACTCATTGTCTCTTGTTTGATCTTGCGCATGTGCATTAGTCTCACGAGTGAACTGTTCACCCATCAGACATTCGAAGGGACTCAACCCCTCGAACAGTCAAACAATCCAATTCAGTCAAGTCGCTTAGTGGACAGTTCGAGAGGCGAGGGACCGATTGGATCGTTGAATTTGTGGGTTTTGAGAATTGGGGTTTTCAAGTGGGTTCAATCAGTTGCAGTTTCGATATAAAAAGGCTAAACGATTGTTAATTGAGTGCGCATTAATTTCAAAGTTTGATGTTTGACAAAACATTTATTGATAATAATCTGATTTTGGGGGATTGCATTGGTTAGGGGTTTGGCACATTTGGTTATTCTTGATTGGTCTCTTCATTCATTTGATTGATCAACTGTTGAAGAGTTATTCCTCTGGCGCGAGCGAGAAGTTTGAGGGTTTTGATTCCCTGCTCAGGGTTAATTTCTTCAGTTGTTTGACTGGTGGATTGTTGATTTGGTGGGGTAGGTTTCTTTGGTTTGTTGGACGATGGAGGGGGTTTTGAGAAGACGCTTTTGTTTTTAGGAGTAGTAGGTTCAGGAGGTGGAATGGTTACAATTGGTCTGGTAACATTACTACGAAATGCTTCTTTGGGTTTAGGGTTGTAGTAGCTTTTCCGATTCCTTTGAGGACCTTTCCAGTCAATCTTGTTGATTTTATCGATTGGACTGTCTTTCAGGGCTAATGAGATCTCAAGAATCGCTTCGTATTTTTCCTCTGGTGTCATCACTGTATTCCTAGTGATGCGATTGCCGAGAAAACCGAAGCGTGACTTTCTCATGGTCATATCGGCATGTTGCTCTGGTGAGATGGTCGCCACGAAGAAGGTTTCTTTGTACTGGTCAGCATTAGGGTGATAAAGTCTGTAGTGGTCGGGGAAAGAACTGCCTACGTTGTAAAGCTGGAAGAAAACACAGTGTTCTTGACTACAGATTCTAACAGGAATACCGTCCTTTCTTTTAGCCCATTCACGGGATGACTCGGCAAATAATGCTTCTTTCGCAGTCCGTGGTAAGGGTTGGACATCATCATCGTCATCTTCTTCTTCATCAGGAGAATCATCTTCGACTTCTGAGCTTTTGCCAAGGTCGATTGGTGACTTGGTCTCCTCTTCGGTTGTTATTGGAGCATCAGTATTTGACTCCCGTTCCGTTGTCTCAGTTTCATTGGTGTCCATCTCAAAATCAGGGTCCTGGCCAATGTCATCTGAGACTGAGCTATCACTTGAGTCCAGATGCTGAGTTGAACGCTTGAGCTTTCGACGTTTGGTAAGGTCGACAGGTGAGAACTTGCCTTGGTGAGGGTTCTTTCTTTTCTTGCAGGTAGAGATTTCACTTGATGATTGGGATGAATTGTCTTTGCCAGGACCGAAAACCATGAGGTTACCATCACTCGTAGACATTTCAATCCCTCTCTTTGATGCTTCTTTAATGTCGTCTTTACTCAGTGGAAGTCTCGGAATTTCAATTAGCGGGCTCGGTATCTCCGGAGAGTCGACAGGTCCACTAGTTGATGGTTCATTGGCATTGATAAGTTCATGATACTCACTGAGGTATTGATTAACCCATGACATTGGGCCAAAAAGGTTATCAGCACGACCAGTTGTGGGTTCAATTTCCTCAAACACTTCTAAACAAAGCTTGAGCATCGAGAAGACTTCACTTTCTTGGTAAATGAAATTGGCACCACCATTTGAACTGGTCTGAAGTCTTTGTAATAGACTTATGGTATTGAGGATAAGATTTTTCAATTTACATGAGTAGTCAATTAACTTAAGCCGGTGATGAGGTGTGAAGTAGTGTTCGGCCACCTCATGTATACGAGCGTTTTTAGGTGGTTCGGTTGCTATTTCAATAGTTGTAGTTGTTGTCGGTTGGATTGTTTCTTGTTGGGCTGTTGCTTGTTGGGTTGTTGGAGGGTTGATGGTTGGGATGTTATTTGAGGTAAGAGAGTCAAGTTTAGGAAGCAAGGGCAAAATTTGTTCACCAATCCTATTACAGATCCTCGACTCATCCTCTGAGCTCAGTGCATGAGTCAAGCCAAGACTTGCCAAGAAGTCGCTAGTGATTGAATCATCAAGGATGAGATCGTCCAAAGCGGATTGTTCGATTGGAGTGTTGGTGCCGTGGGTTGCTTCATTGGAAGAGTCGCTTGTTGGGGTGTTTGGTTCCTCATGTATTGAGGGTTGTTGTTTAAATGTCTCAATTTGCTCTTTGTATTTACATTTTAACCCGAGAGGTTTGGAGACATTAGAAGTGATGTTTTTTAGATTGTTCATTTGTTGAAGTAATATGTTGATGTTGGTAAAGTCCAATTTTTGGAGGTTGGATTTTGGCACAATATTTGGATGAGAGAGAGGAGAATACGGGACAAGTGCGAGGCATGGTGAGTCGCTTGGTGTAGATTCAAGGTTGGATTGTTCATAGGGAGCCATTTTGTGTTAAAAAGAGATTTGGTATAAAATGGGAATTGGTGGGTTCGATTGTTTGTTGGTAGGAGGCGGATTTTGTAAGAGTTCGTTGTATTTACACTTCAATATTTAGAAAACTTTGAAATTAAAACACTTGTTAAACTTTGTAAATGGCAATAAAAGTAACTAAGATGAAAAGATAAACTCTGTTGTTATCACAGGCGAGGCGAAGCTGCAACTGATTTGACCAGCTGATGTTCTGGTTTCGCGCATGACCTATGGACGCTTGCATGTTTGACTTGTTCGACTGGTGAATTGTTAGGCAGTCGATTGGTGGGAAGTTCGACAGTTTGGTTGATTACGCAGCGTCGACTATTTGAGTTCTTTTACATTAATTGGAGATAAAGATCTCAGTTGAATATGAGACAAAAGAGAATATCTTTCTTATGACATACCCTAGGGTCGATTGGTTGATGGTTGTCGCTGATTGATTTAGGGTCTTTCTTGCTGTGGTTGGTGTGGTGATTGATTCATCTGTTGATGCCTTCTTTTCTTATTATTCTGATGACTTCTTTACAGAATTTGTTTATTGCCTCGGTGTCATTATTTAGCTGATGTCCGATGAATTTGGAAGGTTTTACATCTCTCACATCAGTTTGTATCCGAAAGTGCGTCCTGGCTTGGTCGACTAGTGGACAGTCGTCCAGGTAGTGGGTTGCATTGGCCGTTGGTTCGCCACACAAACATGCTTCATCTTCTTTCAGACCGAAACGTTTCAGGTATGAGGGAAAGGGACCATGGCCGGATATGAGTTGGAATGTTTGCTTAGCGAGGTTGAGCTTGTATGGATCCTTGTTCCAGTTTCCTAGAACTGGGATTATTGATTTTGATTCGTTTAGAGCCAAACGCTTATTTGTGTTTGTTTTGGCCAGTGCTTTAAGCTGATGCTTAACAAAACAACGGGGAACATCTACATAGTTTATCTTGGTCTTGGCCCTAATGCCTGCCTTGGCCAATTGGTCAGCCTTTTCATTACCGATTGTACCAACGTGTGCCTTGGTCCAGGAGATGTTTATTCTAATGCCTTTGTTTATCGTGGTGATGATTTGTTCCCTTATCTGTTCAATCAGTGGGTGTTGAATGAGTCGGGACCTGAGACATGTGAATATACTCTGGGAGTCGGTGAATATGTGCACAGATTCACCCGCTTTACATATTCGACTGTTGATGAGCTCAAGTGTTCGAATGATCGCCAGACATTCAGCCTGGAAAATGCTGGCATAACTGAATAGTGGTAAGCTAGCCTGGTGCTTTATTTTTCCTGAATTGTCGTATATCACCAGTCCAAAGCCGACTCCATCCGTTGTTTTACTTCCATCGGTGTAGGCAATGAATGTAGTTTCAGTCGGAGCGTCTGGTGGATGGATTTTGGTAATTGGAATAACATTCTCTGCGCGAGAGGAGAGGCTGAGAGAAGATTTGTTTTCGAGAGGTCGATCTCTGGGGAGGTCAAGTAGTGAGAGGTTGCCATTTAGACAGGTCGACAGGTTGACATGATACTCGATAAGGTGTTCGAATGGTGGAATATCCGCTATTTTGCAGAGTGATGTGTATGGGGTGGTGCGATATGCGCCAGTGATTTGTAGTAATACCTTGCGGTGAGTCATTTCTAAGACATGTTTTTGAGCTCGAGTTAACATACTTCCGTATATACCAAGAGCATAGGTCATTTTGGGGATGACCACTGCATCATGTATAAGTCTGAGAAGGCTGAGTTGTGGCTTCGGCCAGCCGAAAGATGAATAGCTTTGACAAAAAAGACTGTTTATCTTTATGTTTATGTTTTTTATCTGTTCATTCCATTTCATTTGATTGTCTATGATTAGCCCTAGAATCCTGGTTGAGGCCACCTCAAGGATTGGTTGGTCGTATAGTCGGATGGTTGGTTTTTGAATATCACTTCTTCCTGGGATCCAGAGATGGTTTGTTTTCTTGAGGGAGAATTTGAGATGGTATTTCGCTGCCCAACGTTCGAGCTCTAGTATAACCCGTGATATACAATTCACATCATTCTGGTAGTTGGTCCGACCAATGGAACCCACCAACGTGATGTCATCTGCATAGGCGAGGCTAAGAACATTTGATGTGTTGAGAACTCGAAGGTTCACTAGGAGCTCATTTATCATTATGTTCCACAGCGTTGGTCCCAGACATGAGCCTTGGACGGTTCCTCTGGTGTTCTCGATATGTGCTTCTTCGGTGTTATAACATAATGTTGTCCTCCTTGTGGTTAAGTAAGACGACAAGAGCGACCGAATATGTTCTGGACATTCTCTTTTCTCCAGAATCTCTAGGATGTCAGACCATCTGAGGTTATCAAAGGCTCCTTCGATGTCGAAGGAGATCACAATCGACGCTTTGCCTTGTGATCTGTTGGATTGGTGCTTTGATAGGATCGCCTGGAGTGCATCAAGAGTTGACTTATTTTTACGAAAGCCGAACTGTGCATCGTCGATTGTATTATCGAGCCATTTCTCAAGCTTGTTAAGTATAAGCTTTTCCAGGATTTTACCCGCTAAGGGTAGCAGCCCGATTGGTCTACATGCCTTGACTGAGGTTTGGTCTGTTCCGGGCTTCGGTAGTAGTATGGTGTAGGAGTGTTTAAAGCTGCGTGGAAAATAGCTGTTGATTAGACATCTATTGAAGAAACTCGTTAAAGTTTCTATTGCCAGGGGTGCCATTTGCTTGAAGACAATCGCTGTAAACCCTTCAATTCCAGGCGCTTTCTTGTTACCAAAGGTGTCAATTGCCCATTTAACTTCCTGGGGGTTGAAGAGGTCGGATTGTGCTATTTCGAGAGGTTGACTTGTTTGCCTGGTCGATGGTTGGTTGGTTGTACTCGTCAAATCGTCAAGGGGTCCGAAAAAGTGTTCGATAAAGAAGCTTGCCAAATTGGCATCTCCGTGGATTGACCGGTCCGCTGACTGAATTTTAGTGGGTAATCCACTTTTCTTACGTGACTTGATTACTTTGTAGTAGGAAGTCCATGCGTCTGCCCCTGTGCACTCAGAGAGTTTTCAGTAGAGGCCGACTCTCTCGTATTCGCAGTTTGAGCTGTTCGGTGAGTTCGGTCAGCCACTTGGTCGCATGTTTGAGAGATCGAGGAGAGTTTTTCCTAATCTGTCTCTTGGCTTTGCTAATATTTTCCATTGTTGATTCAACAGCAGAGTCCCACCAAGGAAAGCTCTTGGGCCGCTTGTTTGGCCGTATCTTTGCTCCTGCTGTGAACAGTGATTCTTCAATCCATTCGTATATGGATTCCAATTCGTGATCTAATTCTTCATGCGTGACCTGTTGGCTTGTTGGGGTGTCCGGAGAGTTGGAGTCAAGAAGCAGTGAATAGGTTGCCCAGTTAACTTTACTGAGATTCCAGCTTCTTCTTGTAGTGATTTCTTTAGCTGGTTTGCTGTTATGATGCGAGTTGTTTACGATGTTAAAAGCAATGCCAGCATGGGGAGTTGCGAAGTCCTTCCCTACAAATTCCCAGTCTTCGATGCTGTATTGTATTTCTGCTGTGGCCAGGGTGAGATCGATGTTGCTCGTAAATGTTCGACCTTGTCGACAGACAAGAAAGGAGGGTTGTTCTGTCGAGTAGTATATCGAGAGGCCATTGCTATTTATAAAATTTTCTAAGGTTTTCCCTCGGGAGTTGGTTAGGTTGTCGCTCCAAAGCGTCGACCTGGCGTTGAAGTCTCCCGCGATGACACAAAAAGAACGTTCAGTTAATGTCTGTTCTATCAGTGGGAAGGTTGCTTGTTGTTGACCTCTAGGCGGGAAATAGCAGTTGATTATGGTGATATCTTCAATGCCAATTGTTGTGATGTTCGATTGGTCGATGTTTGAATAGGTGATTTTGATTTGCGGGTCTAGAATGATAGTTACGGTTTTCTTCTGTTGGTCTGAGTAAAATCTCAGTCCACTTGATTGCATGGTTACGAAGTTAGGTGGTGGCTCTTGAATGAGCAGTACGCTGATCTGCTCCGTGATGGCGTGTTGTAAAACACTATGATAGCTGGAGTAGCTTCGATCGACATTTATTTGGGTGATTTTGAGTTTTCGCATGGTTGGTATATGGACAGGTCTAGGCGCCATTATAATCAGTTAATTCGTTGGCGATTTGTCGCATTCGTTTGAAGATTGGGCACATAGCTGACATGGCACTGTGGAACAGTCAATTTAAAGTGTGAGTTTTGACTCTCGCATTATATTTGCTGCAGTTGACACACTTCGGTGTCTTCTTTTGGGTGCATGTTTTTGTATTGTGCTCATCAGCGCAATGGGCACATGTAATCTTTTGATTACATTTACTCGTACTATGCCCGAACATCTGACACTTCCAACACTGCAAGAAGTTGGAGTATCTGCTTGTTCGACATCTGCGGTAGTCGATCTAACAAATGGATTGGTGGTGAGAATTTTGTATATTTTTGGATCGCATCTGAAGAAGAAATCGGCGTTGGTGGTTTTGCCATCTCCTTCGTTCTTCTTGAAGGCAAGAACGAAGTTATTTTCGTTTAGTTCCACATCAGTGAGCTCATCATTATGATGTTTGAGCTGGCTAACGAGATCTTCGTAGGACGTGTCATTCGGGATGCCATGGATTCGCAGGATCGGTTGCTTCTTCTGCGCCGTTGACCAGTTGATGTCCTCGCGGGTTGAGACAAAATCTATAAGTCTGTCAGCATTAGGCTTGTCATTGCAGATGACGGCTATTCGAGCTGACGAGATTTTTACAATTCTGTTGATTTTTATGTTGTGATCTCTTGGTTTATATATGTTGTGAAAAATTTCGATGAGTTGGTCGCTTGTTGTTCCAGCCTCTTTGTGGCTCAGGATAACTGAGGTGCCATCGGTCGGTAGAGGGCGCCCTGGTAGTAATCCTTCTATGAGTTGAACAGCTGGTTTGTTGTTTACATTTGGTTTGTTTACATTGGTCTGTTTACATCTGGTCTGTTTACGTTTTGCCTTTGATTATTGTTTGTGGATCTTTGTGGCCTGTCAACCTGTTGAGAGTTTCGTCTGCTACTTGGGTTGGTGCCTGGATTGGAAGGTGGATCATTGCGCTGGCGACGGAAGGACTGGGTTCTTATACGCGGTTCCAGTTGGTTGTCAGTTGAGTCAACTGTACGAGTCGCTCTTGGGACAAGTTGGACCTCGTTAGTTGGACCATTGTTTTGTTTAGGTCTTTTGTTACCATTAAATTGCATATTTGTATCCGTATTTGTACTGTCTAGTTTCTTGTTGGCTTCGCTTAGCGACTTTTCGAGGCGTGAGACTTTCCATGAGCGAGTCTATCTCAGCTTTGAAGGCCTCTCTTTCGGGTGTCGGGCATGTTGAGGTGGTTGATGCCTCGCGGAGACTAATAAGTTCTTGTTGAGTAGATTTGTGCTTCGCTTCAGCTAGTCTTAGATCACTTTCTAGCTTGGCAACCTTTTCGCGTAGACTAGTCGTTTCTTCGTCTGGTCCAGTTTCGGTGGATCGAAACGTTTCGGCCAGTTGGTGTAGGGCATCTAGGGCAGCATCAATTTTAGAGCATTCGGTGTCCATAATCCTTTTAATATCGGGCGATTGACTCTTGCTCTTGACGAAGTCAAGCATTGTTGTTTTCGACGCTGCAAGGTCAAACAATAAAGCCTCGATACTTGGGACACTGGCCAGGTTTTCTGTTGATGAGGTGGAATTAGCAGAGGTGGTCCCTCGAGTAGCTCGAAGGCCGAACGATGGTATGGTTGAGGTTGAAGGGGCACGTCGTTGAAGGGTAGAGGGGTTAACATTGGTATTCACCATTGTGAATTACAACGTTAAGACGTTGCCGCTCACAGCGGTCAGACCGTTGATTGTTTGGTCTTGGGCTGTTCACGGGGTGATGCAGGGGACACTTATAAATAAATTTAATTAAAAATATTTATAAAAAGATCACTTTGATCGGGCGGAAAGGTCAAAAAAGGAGAGAGCAAAAAGAAGAGGTGTTACCTCTTCGACGGTTGGGTTGGTTGGTTAGGTTAGGTTAGGTTAGGTTAGGTTAGGTTAGGTTAGGTTAGGTTAGGTTGGTTGGTTAGGTTAGGTTAGGTTAGGTTAGTTAGGTTAGGCTTGGGTTGTTTTTTTTTTTTTTTTTTTTTTTTTGAAAAGCTAGTTTATTTGAGTTAAGGGCATGAATGGGTCCCTTGCTTACAGCAAGTGCAGAGTACTGTTTAGGTTAGGCTAGGTTAGGTTAGGTTAGGTTGGGATTGGGTTAGGTTAGGTTAGGTTAGGTTAGGTTAGGTTAGGTTTTTTTTTTTTTTTTTTTTTTTTTTTTTCAAATGGTTCCAGTGTCCGAAGACACCTTCACGGTTTATTTCGATATATCATCTTTTCCCTATCTGGAAAAGTTTCTTGCGAACTGCGTACATTGATTTTTGTTTACAATTTGTGAATTTTGAAGGAGGAAGATATGAATATTTTTGAGGTGCGGATTGGATGGAGGGGCGAAGGTGGATAACATTGTGTGGTTCGGAATTCGATTTGTGGAGCAACAGTTCAGTTTGAGCCGAAGCTCGATTAGTTAAAGATAGGGGCAGACGGGAATACGGAGATGATTACAATTGTTGGGTTCGGATCGAAATGATACAAATATTTGATTCGAGACGAAGCTCGATTGCTCATAGAAAATAAAACATAAGGGATAAAGATATAAATTTCATGAACATATTGAATAAATTTGATATCCGAGGTACGGTTCAGTCCTTTGACTTCTTGCTTCGTTTTCCTTTTGGTGAATTAACCTCGGTGGATTGGTCTTCGTCTTCGGTTGGGGCGGTAGCATCGGAGGCTTCGGAGGACTCGGAATCACGTTCTCTATCTTTATTTTTCCTTTTCTTTTTCTTCTCTTTCTTTCCGCTGGTTTCAGGTGACGTCTCTTGTGCTTCGGAAGGGTCGGGTTGGTGTCTTGTAAATCATTGTCCAAGCTGGCCAAGGTTTTTGCCTTTGCTTCTTGTACTTCGAGGTTAACTGCATAAGTCGTTGGTAAATGTCTCTATTCACCTTTCTCGTTATAACCTTTACACCTTCTGTCTGTGAGGGATGCATTATCTCAGCATGAGCAGATACATCCTCAGGAGAGGTGAGTATATCGAAGCAAAGGTTGCACCAATTTATGTCGAATTTCTTCGTACGAGAAACAGCAAGTTGCTCCAATGTTTGACGAATGGATTCGTGACCATCTGTACCAGTTACAAGCACTTTTTCAATATCAGTCACTTTATCCTTGATTTCCGAAACTTGAGTTACGATGGACCTTTTCAATTGTGCCAGTTCCAAGGTAAGCTCCTTAACTTGATGAGTGTCGTGTAAGGATAAGTTCAGTTCAACCATGGCAGTTTCCGATGCAGAATATGTGCGTGAGACCGGGTTGACGTCTTTGGTTTACTTGTTGAAGGCTTGCACATTTGTTTGGACATGGTTAAAAATAGTGAGAATTATACAGGTTAAAAGGTTAAAGAGGTTATTCACAATAGGTTGTATAATTAAAGCGGACTTCGGAAGGGAATTGTTGGTTGGTTCGAAATAATTGTTGCTGCGGTTGAGTGTGGTGAAAGGTGAAGTTACAATAATTTGATGATAAAATAGTACAGTGAATGGATTGAAAAGGATTCGATTTGATTTATAAAACAGTTTTATAACGAACTTCGGGTGAGTTGAGGAAATGTATGAGTTCGGAAGAACTGGCTGCGGAGGATTGAAGTTAAAAGATAAATATGTTGTTGTTACTATGAGAGACAAGATGAAAGTGACGATCAATTTTGTTGATGTCGAAAAGAGTTGAATCAAGTGGCGCCACCTTCAAATGTAAAAGATGTTTACAGTGGATCGAGAAGTTTCTTTATCTTGGCAACTCGTTTTACGACTTTTGTTAATTTTTCATCAAGGCTTCCATTCTTGCACACTTCGGTGTATTGCCTATCACGATTTTGATCTTTCGACGAACTGTTTTAAGTAGGCACATGGTTTTGTACTTTAAGTGCTTCCCAATTAGTTTGAGTCTGCCCTCCTTATTTGGAATGTTTTCAATTTCTTTTGATATCAAGTTCTTCAGATTCGCTGGGTAGTTTATTTAGAACACTTTCCAGATTCACTTTATCGATTATTTGCTATTTGAGATGAATTCAAAGAAGATAATCTTTACCATCGTGTTGCACAAACTGATCATCCATGAACTCTAGTAGAATTCGTTTTGGATAGTTCAGTCGAACAGTGGTGAAAGGCACTTCAGATTCACTGTCACTTGATGGTAAAGGTGTTGGTGATTGAATCGATTCGATTGGTTCCATTTGTTAATTTGACGTATGGTAAGATGATAACTATTTGCACAAGTTTAATAGAGTACAAGCTCGAATGATGAATGAGGTGATGTTGAGGTGAGTTTTGTGACGATTGAATGGTATCCGTAATGATAATACGAGGTTCGTAACTAATCGGATAGGTGCGTAATGATGAACAGGTGCGTAATGATAGGGAATGTACAATGATGAGGTTCGGAGACAATTTTCTAAGGATTTGAGGTTCGGGGAACTTTTATTTTAATTTTGATTGATGTTCACTGTTTGAGAAGATAAGGACAAGTGATATGATGTGGAGCCTGGTTTGTCTAAGCAGGTGGCTCTTTACGTTATTTTATTGGTCTTCTTCTGGCTCGTATTCGTCTCCTGATGAGAATTCAGACGAAGATTCTGATAGATTCAATTCGTCACTTATTCCTGGAATACCGGCAATGGTGTTTTTAAGATCAGCTATTCCCTTTTCTACGGCCGAGAGTCTTTGCGTGTGGTTTTTAGCTTGCTTCAAGGCGTATTTACGAAAGCATTTGAGACCAGCTTTACCTCGACCTTTCCCACCAAGAGTCTGCTTTGGTTGCGACGTTCTTTCGACAGCTAATGGCTTAGCTTTGACTTGCATGGACGCTTCATCCGATGGATGCTTTTCTTTAGTAGTCACAACTGTTGACTTGTCACCTAGGTCACTTGTAGACTTCTCGATTGTTGTTGTTGCTGTTTGTGGTGGTTTATCACTTATAGCTGAAGGTTCTACTGTAACCGTTGAGAAACTAGTGTCAGAAGGACTTTCCGAAGCAGATGGTGCGGTTGACAAATTGACTTCGGGAGGTTCGTCTTGAAATGAGACTACGGCTTCGGCTTCGAGTAAATCAGAAGTCGCTTTTGGCACTTCGGATTCGGAAGCTTCGGTCACTTTTGCTGCTTTGTTCGTTTTCCGAGGCTCGTATGAACACTCAGCTTCGTTTTCGGACGAAGAGCTGTCAGATACAAACTCTCTACTCGTTTCTTTTCGGTTAACCTTTTTTCGTGGTGATTTCGCCTGTTTATTACGATTTTCCATCTGATCTCGCCAATTCTTAGATCGGTTTTCTAGTTCTTCGGGCGTTAGGTCAACCCAGATATCATTAGCTTCTTTTGCGTCCGGATGGTAAGATTGCCTATGTTTATGCATACTTCTAGCTTTGTTGTCCTCGAGGTAGAAACATTTTCTTTCCAAACAGATTTTATATCGACTTAGTGGTGGTTTTGGAGCAGGCCCATGAGAACCACCTGGAAGTAGTCGATGAAGCACGATTTTATAACCTTTCTCAGGTAGAAAACCTGACCTGTACTTTTCCGGAAGTTGATTGAACTTGTTCTTCGGAAAAAGGCCCCATTTCTCGATGTGAATGTCTCCTGGCTTGGTTTCTATCTCCCTTTCGCTTGTTGAACTCTCTGAGTCGACTGCCTTTTTCTTATTCACACCAGATGATTGTTTATTTTCAATTTTTCGATCTCTTTGGCTTGTTTATCTATGAGTTGATTTAGCTTATGAAGGTGATTACTTAAGAAATCGGGTGCTTTCTTGATGAGCTTGTTATTTATTTCTCGAAGGTCTTGCTTCTGTGTGTTTTCAAGGTACTTCTCAACAGATGAAAGCGAGTCCTTCGATTTCTTGCTGTGTCCCTGGTTGAGGTATCTCCTTTTCTTTCCTAGCTTCATCACCTGAGGTTGAGCACAGAACTTCAGGTTCGCTCGTGCCTTGAGATTTTGTACAAGGTGACTCTTCTCTAGTGCCAAGCAGAGATTTCAGCTTGAGCTCCATTGATTCTTCGTATTTCTTCATACGCTGCTCCATTATCTCTTCCATCTTTTGAGAGTCTCCATTTCTTTAACTTTTTCACGACACTTTTTGCACTTATTACACCTACAATTTGATTCTGTTGTGTTGATATGGTCTGAGATGAACTGTTCGTAAGTTTTGGTTATTGACATAGATGAATTTATGCACTGTTGATTATTGATGAAGTATTAAGGTGAGATGTAGAACAGGAAGAACTTTGGAAGCACTTGGGTTAGAAGTAAAAGATCTAAGATGTGATTTAAGATGGACGAACGATTAGCACAATCACTGAGGTTTCACTAAAATATATGTCCGAACTGCGGTAGAATGGTTTGTACGAGGTTCGTATTTGTACGACGAATAGTAGGATGAGGTGCGAATATGATTTATACACGAGGTTAGTAATGATACGAGGTTCGTATTTGTACGATGAGTAAGATGAGGTGAGAATATGATTTTAACACGAGGTTAGTAATGATACGAGGTTCGTACGCAGAAGAGATGGTTCGGTGAGTTCGGAAACGTTTTGATGTTGACTTGAGGAGATCAGATTGACAACTGAACCTATTCGTGTGTGTGAGTAGGTGAAGACGATGATAGCGCCATCTGATGGAGAGCTGCGGTGGGACGAAGTGCGGGAGGTTCGTATCACGAAATGAATGAAATATTTAAAGTTGCTGAGATTTCCGATGCTTGAGCTTCGTAACTATACGCACGATATTTTGCTGAGTTACGAGGTTCGTAAGATTGTATACGATAAGGTTAGGTGATCACTTGGTAAAAGCACTATTTACACTGAGCTTTCAATGGAAACTGGAAGTTCGTATGCTTCGGATGTGAGATGTGGTTTAAATACAACTGTATGTGATTTATATACAATCAAATGATGATATGGTGTTGCTTTATGCATTAATTGAATGCTGCTTACTGATGAGCGAGGTTCTAATATTTTGTCTCTCTACCACTTTGTAGATGCCTGAGAGGATGATTTGAATGTCACTGTCTTTAACTAGACTATGAAAGAACTTCTCTGTATTGGTTATTTTGTCTCGGGACAGTGATTGCATTTGAATTCTCTGTTGATTGAAGGCAGGACAGTCAAAGAGTATGTGATCAGACGACTGGGAACACCTTCATCGCACAAATCACATGCATTGTTTCCTTAAGGATGTTTATCCTTTCCATGTGTTTTTAAACATTCCGTGGCCGGTAAGAAAAGGGGCAATTTTCTGCCACTCGCGAAGCTCGCTAATGTTAGAAAGTGCCTGAAAAGACTTCGAGAACCTGCAGATTTGGCTGTTTTCGTTCCCAGCTAGTAGTTTGTTGCTCTCTGCATCACTTATCGTCTTTAGCTGATATTTGGCATATGATTTAGGTACACTGTCAAAATTCTTTTTAGTCTTCATTTTGACTCCTTTTTTGGCTAAGTCATCAGCGATTTCATTACCATCTATCCCAGCATGGCCCTTAATCCATCGTACTTCGACTTCTGCTTTGTTTGCTATCCTTTCCAATAGTACCCTTGTATCAGATATCAGTTTTGTCGAGTTTGTATACTGTTTAATTGCTAGAAGTGCTGCTTGAGAATCAGTGTTTATCGTAACTGATTTATGACACGCGATAAGCTTATCCACTATTTCAGCTGCCTTCATTATCGCGAATACCTCTGCTTGGAAGACAGTGCAGTAATCAGCTAGGCAGAACTTTCTTGAGCTCTCTGGCTGTATCATACAGAATGAAGACACCAGCACCAACACCATCCGAAGTTTTCGAGCCATCCGTACACATGAATATCTTCCGAGCTCGGTGACTAGGTTCATCACTTGGTTCGGTTATTCTGAATTTGACAGAGAGACCAGCTGGATGAAGACGAGGTTCGTAAGGGATTGTCTGCTCAAATTTCCTATCGGACGGAAGGATAATACGCTTCTGTACCCACTTATAATATTTCTCTGCAGCATCGTTTTGATTAGTACGGTATCTACTGGTTTGTAACCACAGATGGCAATTGTGTTGACCCAGGATGTGGTGTAGAAAGTTTTGAAGTTCTTATTATGTACAATCTTTGCAACTTTCTAAGCTTCTGTTTTACGTAATTGAACTTGAGAGAGAGAGCCCCATGTTGTAACAGCGTACTCCAGAGTGGAATTACAACGCCATCCCAAATCTTTCTGAATATTTCGATGTGGTTACCAAACATTGACTGTGCTTTAAACGCAGCTCTGTTACTAAACTGCGTTGTTTTCCTCAGAAGTTGATCAAGATGTTTTGTAAATTTCAACTGTTTATCTAGGGTGACGCCTAGGGTTTCACAGTTTCCACTACAGGTACGATTTCGTCGTTTATCTTCAGCTCAATGCAATCTCCTTTATTTTTGATTACCAGCAAGGCAGATTTTGGGCAGAGAATTTCATCTTCTCGTTCAGGGACCATGATTCGGATACTTGTTTTATCACGTTGTTGCTCTGTCATCAACTGCTTTGTATTCGCTTTTACTATAATAGAGACATCATCAGCATAAGCATAAACAGTTATGCCTTTGCTCAGGTCTCTTATAAGATCATTTATGATTAACAGCCAGAAAAACGGCCCAAGGACTGAACCTTGTATACACCCTTTGTTGTTGTCTTCTCTGCACGGGAGCATAAATCTTCTTGCTCTACTCTTCTCTCTGACAAGTAAGAGTGAATAAGGTGATAAAGATTCCTCGAGTCCTTGCTCTCTGTAGTTTATGCAATACACTCGGCCACCAGGCACTATCAAAAGCACCTTCGATATCTAATGATATAAGTATGACGATGTTATTTGTCTTCCGAGCCTCGGATAGGTCTGACACGAGAGTTTGAATACAGGTTTCTGCTGATTTCCTCCGAATTGCGAATCATCAATAAAATTGTTTCTTTCGAGGTGCCAACACAGTCGCGAATGTATCAACGACTCAAGACCTTTCCCCAGCATTGGTAGAAGTCCGATTGGGCGATAAGACTTCGGTTTAGTGTAATCTCCTTTCCCACTTTTTGAATATATTTTATTACTGCAGTTTTCCAAACCTTGGAAAGACCCTTGCGACAGGCAGCAGTTATAGACATGAAGCAGAAGGTCCGTTTGTTGTCGTAATCGTTCACAAATCGCTGAATTGAGACCATCATATCCTGGTGACTTTGATACATGTACCTTAGAAAAACCTTCTCAAGTTCATTGTAGCTGAAAGGGGATCATTTGCTGGAAGTATGTTGTCAATAGCTTCATTTGATTTTGTATCTTCGAATTACAATATGTTGAGCACAATCGTTATGTTCCGTATCATCAGGAAGAAGGTGTTTAATAATAACATTCCTGAATCTGCGGCAGACAGGAACTTGTTTTCTGAATCTGTGAGACACTGTGACTGTATAACAGATGAGTTCTTTAGCCATTTATTGACCGGATCCCATGTTTTGCTGGCATCAAGTTGTTTAGTATAGTCTCTCCACGATTTTAATTTCGCCTCTTTGATATGACTAGAAACCTCACTACGAAGTTCGGTTAACCGTTTTCTCAGTGAGTCACGACGCTCGGAGTTAGAACATACCGAAATACTTCTCAGCATTTATCCTTCGGTCAAGAGCCACAATAGTTGAATTTTCCAGAAACATTTCCTCGATTTTTGTTTCTGACTTTTACGAATTGTATAATCTGCAGTTTCTGTAGCCGCACGCGTATATCTTGCTGCAAGAATTTCAACACTGCACTCTCGAGCTCGATGCACACTGTCAAGTTTTTGGATTGCAATCTTTTCGAAGTTTCTCCATGACTTGGGAATCTGCTTGAACACTTTAGTTGAGTCGAAGGCTGTAAACTTGTATTTCACTGATAATTCAAACGTGATCGCATAGTGATCCGAAGTTGTCGATAGTCCGCCCTTACTTTCCAATCGTGTGATTGTGCTAGAAGGTGGGAGAACCAGAGTGAGATCCACTATACTTTTATGAAGAACCCCTGAACGCACTGCACTAAAGGTTGGGTGTTTTCCATGATTTACCGGAACTAGCTGGTTAGCTTCCAGCATTTCCTCTACTTGAAGCCCATTTGCATTAGTTTTCTCATCTCCCCATTGAGTTGAGCGTCCATTGAAGTCACCACAGCAGATAATCTGTTCTTGATCAGTAGCAGTCGAGGTTCGGATTAAATGGGTCAGTGATGTAATAATCTCCTTTCTTTTCACTGTCGGAGGAATGTATACCGATGTTAATGTTATCCATCCATCGGTGGTGAAGATCTTACATGCCGCAATATATGATGAATTGGATTTCAGCGGCATTTGTGGGATGTTTTTGTCTAAAATAATTATTGCAGCGAAGGCTCTTCCG